TAGGGAAAGGCCTAATATTGTGGTATATATCTGATATTCCTGTCAATTATTCACTCTATTTTTATTTCCATTTCACTTTGGGGGTAGATTTTTTGGGATGCCTTTTTAAGAACTGTTAGCACACACACCAGTGCAGTAAAGTGCAATAACTGCTGTTTGGTCCCATTCCTACCTTTGCTGATGCATTTAAATTGCTGTTCTAAAAACTGTCGTGTAAACAGTGTCATGTAAGCAGAGTTACACCCTTTTAAATTCATTGACGTCAATGAGTTCAGAAAGGTGTAACTTTGATTAGGAATGCCCAGTTAGTATACTAAAGGTGTGTATTGACACTCATAGAGATCAGGACTTGCTCAAGTCTGTTTCTCCTGCAGGTCTAGCCTGCCCAGCTTCCTCTTCTTCTCCCACCTCCATCACTGAATTTGAAATACTAGACAGTGAATGACAAGTTGATTTGGGCTTCAGTCCTAAGAGCACTTTCCTGTGTGTAAGCACCATTAAATAAAATGGGACATATTTCTGAGTAGACCTGTTTAGGATTGTTCTCTAAGGCTGCAACTTGAAGCACAAACTTAATAGAGAGTGAGTCTAAATGGGCAGTTTTCACAATGGGAGTTGGTAAGCAGTGGGATACCACAGGGCTCAGTACTAGGTCTGGTGCTTTTTAAGTTTTCATTAATGATTTGGAATTGGGAGTAAGCAGTGAAGTGGCTAAATTTGGGGATGACACTAAGTTGTTCAGGGCGGTGAGAACCAGGGAGGACTGTGAAGAGCTCCAGAGGGATCTGTCAAAACTGGACAAGTGGGTGTCAACATGGCAGATGATGTTCAATATGGGCAAGTGCAAATTAATGCACATTGCAGCAAAAAAATCCTAACTATAAATATATGTCGATAGGGTCCAAACTGGCAGTAACTGACCAGGAGAGAGATCTTGGAGTCGTGGTAATAACTCACTGAAGATGTTGACTCACTGTGTGACTGCAATAAAAAAGGCTAATGCTATGCTGGGGATTGTTAGGAAGGGGATTGAAAACAAATCAGCCAGTATCATAATGCTCTTGTATAAATCTTTGGTGCAGCCTCATCTGGACTATTGTGTACAGTTCTGGCCACCACACCTCAAAAAAGATATTATAGCATTGGAAAGGGTGCAGAAACGGGCAACTAAAATGACTAAGGGGATGGAACACCTTCCCTAATGAAGAAAGGTTAAAAAGGTTAGAGCTCCTTAGCTTGAGGAAATAATAATTGAGGGGTGACTTGATAGAGGTTTACAAAATTATGCATGGGATAGAGAGGCTAGAGGAAAAAAAGTACTTTTCTCCCTTTCTCACAAAAGAACTCGGGCACTCAATGGAATTAATGAACAGTAGGCTTAGAACAGATAAAAGGAAGTACTTCTCCGCCCAGAGAATAATTAACACATGGAGCTCACTGCAGCAGGGCTACAAGCATAGACAGTTTCAAGAGGGGATTGGATAAAGATATGGAGTACCAGTGGCTATTAGCCACAAGGCATGGATGGAACACTATCATTTATTTTATTTTAGTAGGCTTTTAGCCTGTCCTCCCCCTGAAGCAGGCTCAGAGCGGGTTACAACAGCAATCTATGTCTAGGGCAGTGATGCTGTGTATTCTTGGTGCTTGGGGAGCAACGGTGGGAGGGCTTCTGGAGTTCTGGCCCATTCTGGACATCCTGATGGCACCTGGGTTTTGGCCACCGTGTGACACAGAGTGTCGGACTGGATGGGCCATTGGCCTGATCCAACATGGCTTCTCTTATGTTCTTATTTTATACTGCAGACCAACACGGCTACCCTCTGAAACTATTTTATGCAGAGTAACTCTAGTCTAAGCCTACTGAACTGAATCAATTTAGACTGGAGTAATTATGTGCCAGATTGCACTGGTAGTGATGTCACTGCTTCACAGCCAATCAGTGTAGTGCACAAGAATGGATGCCCCCTGAGCTTTATTGGGGAGGAGCAGATTGTATGTCTGATCAGAATGAAATGACTGCATTTCCAGAAGAGGCTTGTTGCTTGAAGTATGTACTCCTGCCCATATACTGCTTCATAAGCCAGTGTGAGTTACTTTGGAGTAAGCAAATAGTGCATCCTGCAGGCAGAGAAGAGTTTTTAACAAAGTGCAGGGTTTGGGTTTTGCGTGTGTGTGTATGGGTGGTGATGGAATTTGCTGAGGCAGTGATGTGAGAATAAGAATGTTACCCAAGGGTGTCCCTGCTGTGATCTGTGGGGAATTGATGAGCATGGAAAAGATGCGTTCAGTTGTTGTCTGACAAATATCAACTGACAACTGGAGGACTTTCACACAAGATGACCAATATGGTATCTCCGTCAAGATTTAAACTGTCCCCCCCCCCCCATAAAGGGCTTGTAACAGATGCCAGACCTGAGTGCATTCAGAACATTTTCCCCTGTTTTTCTCACAAAAGCACAAAGCAGACTGTAACAAGAGTAAGATGTTTGCTGTAAGTGGCCTTTGCTAGCTAAAATGTACAATCAGTTCATGTGGCTCTGTTACCCTTTTTTTTTTAGTATCATGTGAGAAAATATCAAAGCCATGTTTTTGTTTTGCTCTGTTGGGATGTGATTTTTATTTTTGTTCAGGGCTGCCAATTTTCAGGTGGGGCTTGGAGAGCTCCTGGAATCACAATTGATTTCCAAACTACAGAGATCAGTTTTCCTGGAGAAAATGAAGTTTTGGAAGGTGGACTGTACGGCATTAGACCCCTCAAATGTCCCTCCCCCCAAACTCTGCCTGCCACACGCTCCCCCATAATCTCAAGGAATTTTCCAGCCTGAAGTTGGCAACCCTGATTCCACCTCTGGTAATAATACTCGATGACCTTACAGAGTTGTTTAAAGGATAACCATGATAAATTTTAAACACTTTAAAAACCTCAAAAGTAGTAATAGTGTCTCTTATAATGGGTTTGGCCTAAGGGAATGGTACCCAGGATCAAGATACAGGGTGACTGAGGGCTGCCAACTCCAGAGTGGGAAATTCCTGGAGATTTGGTGGCAGAATTTGGAGAGCATGGAGTTTGGGGTAGGTATGAAACTTGGGTTTTCTTTAAAACAACAACAAAACCCCCCTACATAGCCTTCTTTGAATCCAGGCTAGATAACTTGGGCAGTACTTAATTTGAAGGCCTGTGTGTGATGTGGGAAAAGGCACTCTTAATAATACTACATTAGAATCCATCTTGCATTCCATAAGCACAGATGGTATACGTTCCTCCCCACTTTCTCTGACAGTGTATGAAGGTACAAGACATACACACACATACACACCGCATTCTAATGTTCTGTTCCCTGTGTAGGTGCAATACAGGGACTTCTGCTCTGATCCAGGCAGAGAGACTAGGTTGCAGCTTTATTAGGGTTTTCCAGAAGGACATAATTTTTCTGGGCCTGGTGCTAATGTATAATATGCCCCCATCCCACATGCACATGCATGCACATGATCCCATTCCGTGCATGCAGTCTCATGATCATGAAAAACAAAAGTGTCCTCCTTCTGAAGTGACATAAATAGACCCTACTGCAGCCCAAGTTAAGTCCTTTGGGTAGGGTTGCCAGCCTCCAGGTGGGGCCTGGAGATCTCCCACTTTTACAACTGATCTCCGGCTGACAGAGATCAGCTCCCCTGGAGAAAAGGGCTGCTTTGAAGGGTGGACTCTATGGCCTCGTACCATGCTGAGGTCCTTCCCCTCCCCAAACCCCGCACTCTCCCGGATCCACCCCCAAAGTCTTCAGGTATTTTCTAACCCAGCTCTGGCAACCCTACCTTTGGGCTCTATTAAAATGTATCCATTATCTCCCTTCTTGGCCCTGTCTACTTGAGAAGGAGACAAATCTTAGAAAGTGGCGCCAGAAACAACTACCAATCTGTTTTCTCATTGGCTGTATGAGAACATTTGTTATTGGCTTGGTTTTCTTGTCCATCATGCTCTATCCATGGGTTACTAGACATTGTCAGGCTTTGCCCCAAGATCCCCTCCAAGTGCCCCATGGTACCATTCCCTTTCTGTCTAGTATGCCCCAAGGTTCCTCCCTACCCCCCAGCCTCAGAGTCTGAAGCTTGGCAAACCTAATGTGTATGTAAAGTACTGTCAAGTCACT